CCAATGAACAATAATAAAATAATTTTTCAATAATTATTCAATAATATAATTCCTTTTATAGACGAATAATAATGATTATTTAACATAAAATAACATATTTCCTTAGTAATTGATCAACATAAAATTATGAAATTAACTCGTATGACTTCCTATGTGTATTAGAACAGACAATTGATGGTAATATCGCGTGCCTACCAATGATAAATTTATCGATAATAAATTTTTATCAATTAAAAGATTACCGACTAAGTAGTATTGAAAGTAATGAAGTTATCGACATTTTATTCCTGATTGTAATGCATATTGTAAATTTATTCATTGGAAATGACTTGCTTGAGCACTTGGTGAAGGAATCCAATAGATATCATTATCAAGTCATAGAAAAATATAGAATTATACCAAAAACGAAAAAATGGACAGACATCACAGTATCTGAAATGAAGAAATTTTTGAGCCTAATAGTTCTAATGGGACAAATAAAGAAAGATGTTCTCTACGACTATTGGTCCACGGATTCAACTATAGAAACACCATTCTTCTCGAAAATAATGAGCAGAAACAGATTTTTACAAATAATGTAGAGTTGGCATTTTTGTAACAATGACAGAATTTCTCACAATTCGCATAGACTTGCGAAAATCCAGCCTGTCATCGATTATTTAAAGCAAAAATTTAACGATGTGTATAAACCATATCAACAATTGTCTCTGGATGAGTGTATAATTCCGTGGAGAACTAGACTTTCAATTAAAACATATAATCCCGCAAAAATCACAAAATACGGAATACTGGTCAGAACGCTGTCTGAAGCTTGTACAGGATACGTGTGTAACTTTTGCGTGTATGCTGCTGATGGAAAAAAATTAGAAGACATTATATTATCGGTCATTGAACCGTATAAGAACCGAATAAGATGAAAAAAGTATTCGAAGTCAAACTCTACAAACTGATAAATATTCTTTGATTTCTGAAGTATGGAATAAATTTATTGAATATAGCTAAAATTGTTACAAACTGGCCATGAATCTCTCCGTTAATAAACAATTGTTTCCAACTAAAATTAAAGCAAGAAAAGTAACAAATAGGACAAAGCTATCGGAATTACCGAATGCGTGTGCATAAATGTGATCATTACAGAGGACAGTCTTGAGTAGACCAAGCAAAGAGTAAAAAGAACAGAAAACGGCTTTGAATAGAACGAACAAAGAGTAAAGAGTAAAGAAGATGAGTTGTACCATTATAATATATTAATTAATAAAATCTTTATTAAATATAAGAGTAAATGATCCGAATTTCATTAGTCTGTGTCTTCCATGTAGAGTTACAAAAAATATCAAGGAAAATAAAATCCAATATTAATTGAAACTATTCGGTAAAACAAAAAAGAATTGCTAAAATTTAACAAAAGGAACATAATATAGCATATTTTTCAATAAAAATTTATAAATCAGCTAATTTTATGACAATTTATAAAAGTAAACGAAACAAAAGAGTACATCAAAATTAAACCGTTTACCTGAAACAGTTACTTACTATTGTATAATAACACTAAATTCGATGTGGACATAACTGATCAAATGTCGAGAAAATATAATGTGAAATTTAAATCTTTCAGATGTCAACATTAAATATTTTTTAATATTTTTGATTAACCAATGTATCTGCATGGATTCTGTACGAACGAACAATAGGAGAGAAGCTATCAACATGAATTCTTGTTCTAACTCCCAGAAAAATTTGCCATGATATATTCAAAATTGCAAGAACAAAAATAACAAAACATACAAATATCAAATATAAGTAATAATCCAAGAAATATCAACAAATACAAGTAATAATTCACATGTACGGAAAACGTGCAAACTAAGATATAATAAGGACATTAGAGTATTTAAAATCTGCGGTGAGTGTAGGGAAAATATATTCGTGGAAAGAACAGACTAAAAAAATCTATAATCTATAAAAATTGAAACATCTGTCATTTAGTTCTAAATGAAAGAAAATACATTACTCTGTTCTTTTTGAACATTAAAATGAAACATAAATAATTTTTTTATCATTATCTAAAAGTAGTTTTGTTTATTATTTTCTATATTAAATTCACCATTATATGCATACAGTTTGACAAAATATAACTTTTATTTCAGAACCAGTCATTTAACCAGTTATGATACGAATAGATATATAAAAATCAAGGTACGATTAATACCGACAATAATGACATATTTGAGTATAATAGCATAGTAAGAAAACGTGCGAAACAATTATTAATTAAAGGATATACCGATAATTAGACTCCAGATATTTATTTAAATGCATATTTTTATATATAAAAAAAAAAGAAGAAATCAATGAACCCAACTATAAATACTTTTCATGATTAGAAAGTACTAAAATATTTTTTATTTTGCATTCTTTGCATAAAGCATAAACTCTGCAAATTTATGATTAAAAACATATGCAGTATATTAATGCATATATTATTTATGTATATTTCATGTTCATGGTGCTCATTATTTATTAAAATATTTTAATATGTCATCTATCTGTAAATTCATTCTACATAGCAATCATAATAATAATTTCCTAAAATAATAACGCGTAATATGTACTAACTAAACAATGAAGTATGTTTTCATGACTTCGAAGCACTCATTGAGCATTAAATATTTAATTTAAAATTCAGTTAACGTTTCAAATTCGAATAGTGAAGTCAGATTAGTTTAATGCTATCGAAAAGTGTGTAAATTTAGTAAAGTGTTTTTGAATATTTAAGATGAAAATAATGAAAAGAATTAAAAAAGTATTTATTATTAAATCTGTGGTAAAAGTGTGAAATACGAAAGAAAATTACAGTTAGTGCGCCATATGAATACATTTAAACATAAAAGAAATGTTGATGAACAAAGTGATCCATATAAACGAGAAAGTGAGCACCAATCATCAAATTAAAGAAAGAATGAATTTTACAAAGATTTAACGCAAGTAATGGTTCCTGGTAATATACCGTGAAGTTCTTTAAATAACCATACACGGAGAAATTTTTTTGCAAAAAATATAGATGATTCAGTTCCGGATGAATCTATATTACGAAAAAATTACTTAGATGAATGATCAAGCATTCAGACAATTAAGCAAGATATAGGAGAATATTATATACGAATTTCTGTAGACGAAATGACCAATGTAGCAGGGTAATACAAATTTAATAGTAAAATAGCTCTGTGAGAATGAAACGTCAAAACTGCGCTTATTGTATTCTAAAATAATAGAAGAAATAAATTATGCAACTATATCTCACTTTGTAAATTCAGCTTTAAGAATTTTATTACCAAATTGTAGTAAAGGAAAAGTTCCCCTACTTACAAGAGATGCAGCACCATACATGGTCAAAGAAGGGAAGAAATTAAATTATGTTATGCAAATTACATATGTAATGCATAGTCTACACAGGATAGCTGATGAAGTGCGACTCTGTTTTCCAATTATTAATATATTAATATCATCTGCGAAAAAGATATTTTTAAAAGCACCATTTCGTATTGAAGCGTTCTATTAATAAATATGCTTAAAAGCAATTTGGAATGGAACACATACATACTACTATTCTCCAGATAATGATATAAAAATTCAAGTTGAAAAGCTATAAAGATACTAAGAGAAAAAATGTAAGCTACTACACTCATCAAACAAAAGATATCAAAAGATATAAAGCCACTATAAACGGATTTCACTATTCGTTTATATTGTATTTTATGATACGATCATAAAACTCACAGTAAACCAAAATTCGCATTGAAAATTAATGTAAAGGGAATGCTAAAAATAATAATCTAACATTGTAATGGACTATGAAGAAAAAACATCCAACTACAGAAATTTCTCTATCAACACATGATAGACATATGCCTATGACTATATGATTACAGGAAATACACGAAATACTACTTAATCACTTTAACATAGATCCATTATATATATACACAACACCAAATAGATCAAGCAGAACAAAAGGAGGGACTGCATTTTAAGTTCGTTAAGAAATAAAACATTATCTGATGCAAGGACTAAAAGAAAAATACGCACAGATCACCAGTATTAAAGTATGCCTGGGCAGACAGCAAATTCTTGTGATATCATGCTATATTTCACTGAATCATGTTTCATAATTGAAAATCAAAAAATGATTTCATGATTCATAATTGAAAATCATAATTGAAAAAGAAATAAACGAAATACTACCCAAACGAAACAATTATATAATAGGAAGAGATTTCAATGCAAAAAATCACGGAGATCGTGAATAATTAACAAGAGGCAAACTTATACAAAAAGTGATATAAAACTAAAAACTAACTGTAATAACGAAAGATAAACCAACTCATTAACCGACAAATGCTGAAGCAGTTTCAGATATCATAGATTTCTTTATAGCAAACTTTAAACTACACGTAACAAAAGTAAGGGCATTATGAGAAAAAATTCGGATCATGTGCTACTTATATTATGCATCTTTGTAGTAAATCATAATTAACTAACATAAATACATTAAGAACTGGAAAAACGAACTGGAAAGAATTTAAGAAAGAATTAGATAAACAAATTGCAATATAGAACTTAACATAACAGAAGACATTACAGAAGCAAAGGAAAAACTCACGAAAATAATTCAAACAGCATTCGGCGATTGGTTGTCAACATCGCCGACGACCAACGAAGCGTATAAATTCAACGAAACTCTAATGTATATAATAAAAGAGAAACGTAAAGCGAAAAAGATATGAAGGAAAATATTTATTCAAAACAAGAAAAATTTACACAAGATTTAATGTTTATGAAAACTTATTTTAGCTTTTTACCGGTCACAATGGAAAAATTAGAAATAATGTCATTCAATTCAACAAAAATATATTAGTGTCTCATAAGTCTTTTCCGCGCTACGCTATGTATGACCTCGAGCCGGCTATATTAATAAATATGTAGGTTTATCTGTTGTCCGTTTATGGCATCAATTTCAGTCGTTTCACAGCTCTTTTAAAGTTCGTTTCGTCGGTGACAAAGTCTCTTTTGAAATCTTTTTCTACGTCGTTCAATATGGATAGTCAAAAGAAGCATTTGTGGCATGTTATGCTTCATTGCTTTAAAAAAGGTAGTAATGCAAAAGACACTGCAGACGAGATTTGCACCGTTTGTGGGAGTGGTACTATGACTATTAGAACCTTCCGCAATTGGTTTAAGAAATTTAGAGCTGACAATTTTGATTTGAAAGATGAAGATCGCAGCGGCTGCCCAGCAACGACGGATACGGACCTCATCAAGAGTATGCTCGCAGAAAATCCGTTATATAGTGTGCGCGAGATAATGGATGCCACTAACATTCCCAAGACAACGGTACATAATCATTTAATCAAAATGGGATATGTAAATCGGCATGAAGTTTGAGTTCCACGCCAATTGACAGAGATCGACCTTATGAACCGCGTCTCTACGTGCGATTTGCTTCTTCAGCAACATGAAAAAAACTCTTTTTTAAAGAGGCTTGTCACTGGAGACGAGACTTGGATTATATATCAAAATGTGCATCGAAAACGCACTTGGTCTAAGAAAAATCGACCTTCAACTGTTGCGAAGCCTGGATTTCATCCGAAAAAAGTTCTTTTGTGCATTTGGTGGGACTGGAAAGTGTACTACGAGCTCCTTCCACAAGGTAAAACGATCAATTCTGCAAAATATTACAATCAACTCGATAAATTAAAAGTTACCATAACTGAAAAACGGCCAAAATTGGTGAACCGACGAGGTGTTGTTTTTCACTACGACAACGCAAGACCGCATGTTGCGTTGACTGTAAGACAAAAACTCTTACAGTTTGATTGGGACGTTCTACCTTATCCTCCGTACTCCCCAAACGTTACCCCATCCGATTATTACTTGTTTCTCTCGTTAAAAAATTCTCTCCGTGATAAATGTTACAAATCCGAAAACAAAATAAAAACGCACCTCGATGAATATTTTGCAAGTAAGTCTCAACTTTGAAAAGAGGTATAATGAGGCTTCCTGAAAGATGGAAGGTAATAGAGTAGAACGGTTCATATATAACACAGTAAATCAACCTTAAACAACAAATATTGTCTATTGATTTTGCATAAAAAAAAGGAAAAAAATTATAGGACATCCTAATATTTAGATTAGATTGATCGTCTGAGCAATATATCTGGTAATTGCGGAGAAAAAATCAAAAAGAAAGTGGTATTATAACAAAAAATACAGAATTATCTATTTTAATAGAAATCTCAAAAATTATGACTAATGAATACATTTAAGGGCCGATAGAAGTATTAGAATATTGCTGAAGTAAATTTAAGTATGAATCTTGTAATGTAGAAGAGTCATTATCCGCATACATGTTAATTTTTACAAATAAACCTCCTCAATTAACACCTTCGAATATGGAACAGATGCTTATAATGTATTATAATTAGAAATATAATATATCACAATAATTGCAAAATTTATTATTATATTTATTATATTATTATAAATACCTAAAGTACCAAATATTTCGTGTATATTTGTATATATTTTCGTGTATAAATATCATATGCTACCTACATATTTATCGTGCATAAACATCCAGTCTACCATTAATAAAGAAGATACTAGTCATCAATCATCAGATCAATGGAGTTGGATCAAGTAAAAAATAATATACCAAAGATCTGGAATTATACCGAGATTTCTGACATTAAATTAATAATAACCAGATAGCAATCAAAAATGAAAGACTATATAAGATAAGTAAACTTGTGGATACACTAAATCATAATATTTGTAAAAATTACGATCTCGATGAAGTAGTTGATGTATGTATCGATGAATCATTAATAACATTTCGAGAATGCATAATTCTTAAACAATTTTTAACCCTTAACGCTTCAAGTATGCCTTTCAAGCACCACCGATCTACGTCAAATGTATTTTTGAGTCGTTATTGGTAATTGTTTACAAATAAGAAATAATATCCCTCAATCAATTAGAAGCGTTCAGTAAAGACAGTCAGATCTGAATTTGTTTTATTGTAAACCTATCTATTTTTCAATTATGTCGAGAAAAATGAATTATTTTTGTGAGGAAAGTATAGGTAGTAACGATGACAATTTTTCACATCTATAATGATGTAGTTGTTGATTTGGAAAGCAGTTATAGTGACAGTAGTGATAGTGATATTCTTGTTTCTGGAAGAAAAAAAAATAAGAAAACTTTCATCGAGTGACGAAATGATGACGAGATGATGGAGAACCACAAGAAGAAAATCTAACCAAGAGTATTTGTAACGTAAGATCTTCTAGTTGGCAGGAAATTTTTAACGAAGATATCATTCCACAACGATTTAAATTTTCAACTGATACAAAAACTCCTGGTCCGCAGGTACACCATTTATATGAACCTATTCAGTACTTTCAATTATTTTTTACTAATTTGTTCGTAGCGCAATGTTTTCTATTAAAAACATTACGCTACAAACAAATTTATATGCAAAGCAGATTCTTAGGGATAGTATATTATCAAAATGCTCTATGTGAAATGACTGATGTGAGGTTCAATTTGAAGAGATGAAAGCTTTTCTTGGTGTCGTACTGAATATGGGTACAGTTTATGTGAACCACATTCAAAATTATTGTTCAAAGGAATTTGAAACACGAATACCGTTCTTTAGCAAAATATTTAGCCGGAAGCGTTTTTTCCCAATTTTTGGGATGTTACACTTGAATAAGAATGCTTCAAAAGCTCAAGACATCAAAACGAGAGTTCAAAAAGTAAACAATTTCATCAAATACTTGGACGAAAAATTCCTAGAGTATTTTGTACCCCGAAAAGAAGTTTCTATAGACGAAGCTGTTGTGAAATTCAAGGGGAGGATTAGTTTTATAATCTATAATCCACAGAAACCTACTAAATGGGTAATACGGATATTTGTCCTGGCTGACGCAAAATCCACATACGTTTATGGCATTTTACCATAGTATGACAAACTCACATCGCGAGATTTTATGAAACTAGATCTGCCAGTATCATCATGAATAGTTTTACATCTGTGTAACAAATTGTTACATTCCATTCCTGGCTGTGCAAAATATCACGTTTACGTTAGATAGATACTATACAAGTTTAGTCCTAACAGAGGAATTGTTACAAATGAAGTGCCACATAACAAGTACAATATAAAAAAATCGTAAACATATATCACAAGGAATTACTAATCCGAAATTTATTAATTCAAATACAATTGCAATATGCCATTCTAATTACTTACTCCTTGCTTGGAAAGACAAGCAAATTTTCACTATATTGAGCACGTATCACACCTTTGGGTCAAGAGTCATAACTAGATTTTCATGAAATTGTATTACTGAAGAAGTATCAAAATCAAATGTGATTGCTAATTATACGAGTAATATGGATGATGTAGATAAAGCCGATCAATATGCATCAACATATTGTTTCCTGAGAAAATCGTTGAAATGGTGGCAGAAATTGATCTTTTGGGGACTAGAAACAAGCGGTAATAAATGCTTATATACTTTACAAGCTTTCTCAGAAAAGGAAAGGAGAAAGCTCTTTATCAGACTATAAATTTGTCAAATTATTAGTAAGTCAGCTCGTAAGTAACCTTCGGAATAACAATGTGTATGGCAGGCCTTCCGGAACAGATAAGGGATAATGTTTAAATGGGAAACTCCATATAATAAATCAGTTGTCAAAAAGGAAAAAGAAAAAGTGTTTTGTTTGTTCACCAAAAGGAAATAATGCGGTAAAAAAACAAACAGTTTTCTACTGTGAGACTTGTGAACATTCCCGGTTTGCATTCCAATGAATGTTTTAGAAAACTCCACACATTACTCAATTATAATTAATATAAATATTGTAATCAAAATTATATTACTTTTGAGATAAATAAAGATTGTTTTAAATGACTTTAATATTATTATTTACACGTTATTGTAGCATTTAAAATTTGACACTTAAAAACTTGCAAATCGAAATATGATGAGAATAAGTTAGAGTTGCCAGTCGATATTCACAATTAAAAAGAGCATTAAAGGTTAAAACGGAAGCGCCATAAATACGATATTAAACTATTTAAATTATTTTATGGTCCAGGATATACATACCAATTTCAAATATATTCTGGAAAAAAAATCAAATGCACCATGTTGAACAAGTCTTGTAATAAACATGTGTAAGGATATACCTCATAAAGGCCACACAATTTACGTAGACGATTGTCAATATCAATTCAGCCGAAGAATGAATTGTTTGTAACACTCATTTGGTAGGAACTATAAAGAAAAACTAAAAAGAATACCCCTAAAAGTTGAACTAAAAAACTTAAAACAAGACAAATTGATTGGAATGCAAAATATGAAGGGGATTATGATTCTTAAATGGAAAAACAGATGTGATATATTAATGATTTCGACAAAACATTTGGCGGAAACGGTAACTGTATGCAAAAATAATTACACACGTAAAAAAACTGAAGGTATTTTTGATTATAATATAGGAAAATGTAATATAGATTTATACGATCAACATATTCTATACTACACAAAAAAACCCTCATATGATATATAGAATTAGCTACTGAATATTTATTAAATACATCAGTTACATATACGCAATTCAAATCAATTACATAAACTGCCAACGAAAAAAAAATAAAGATCTCTGACTTTTGAAGTTAGTTAATTAATTGCATAACTCATATTACTTAAATGACTCATACCAACAAAACAAGAAGATACTATCCTAAGGAAATGAAATTAGACTATGCTCAATAAAAGAACAATTACAATTGTATCATTCACGAGTAAATCCAAAAAATTAATTATTAATGGCTATGTTCGTCAACAATTAATAGAAAAAATTACAAACAGTAACTCATGTCAAGTCAAATCTTTCATCCTCGACATAACATATACTGTAGGAACTTAAATTTGTTCACTCACTGCTTCAGAAAATCCACAATAGCTCCAAAACATTCGCCCAGTTGTAGCTCGAAATTTATGTAAGCTGGTCCGCAATAGGTCCATAAATAAATCAACGTAGATGGAAAATTAATTAGATTGAATTTGTAATACATTGACTTAATGACAATGCAAATCTGAAAAAGAGTTAAACACAATTTTTATTAAATTTATCGTAATAAAAAGAAATGTAGAATTATATTAGCTATTTTATTATGTTAATTATATTAGCTAATTTAAACATTTATTTACCAATATTCTTCTACAGAAGTGTAATAGGTCTTTGATCATCTTCCATAATGCACTGACTCAAATACGCAATAATTATTTAATATGTAAAAGGCAAACAATGAATTTAATTCGCGAATATCTATTACTTGTTTTATATATACAGTATATCTGATTGTAGAAAAAAAGAAAAATAAAATTCTATACGAACAAATATTGACTCTATGACTGCTTTGCACCCAAATTATTCATACAGACATATTCCTAAAAGTTTTTTAACATCATAAAACGCAAACAAATTTAAATTAACCAAAAAACATTAACAATAAATCTACTTCACAATTCCTTCTTTATTTCATCGAAACAAAGATAGATTCATTATGGCTGCACGAACAACTGCAATCATAATCTGAAAAAAAAAACAATAACAATATCATTGTACAATAAAAAAAAATGTTAAAAGCATAAAGTTAAAAAATAAAAGATTACTCAAATTCTTACTAATAAAAAGTAATAATGAAATAAACAAAAACATTGTAACGGTAACAAAAATAATTAAAAAATAATATCACCTACGAATCACAATATTATCTAAAAAATATTAATAATGTTCACGATTCAAATTATTTTATAATAAAAATATATAGTATAATTATTAATAATTATGATAATTATTAATTATTCTAAAATAAAATATAGTTAAATATTCCCTGGAATAATTGACACGCAAATACTTATACAATAGAAGAATAGTCGAAAATGTTATTGCGAGTAGGTATCGTATCATTCTGAGAAAGAGAGATCACCTATACTCATCCCTGTTACAAATCTTTCGTAAGTTCGTACATGAAAACAAATTTCCGAAAACCATTAACAATATCATTTCTGTTAATGTAATAGAAGATTTATTCGTATTTACGTTCCTTCATATATCAAAACAAATTTGACCTTTTTTTTTAACAGCACACTTAGATTACCTCGACTACATAAGAAAAACAGCAAAATAAAATACATGATCTTCACTGTGCTTTGTATTTCCAACTTCGTCGATTCGTAGAATTTTATGTATTATATCTGTAAAATGTGTATGAATATTACATATCATATATAGTAGGCAGTATATGTAGTATGTATTATAACAAACAATAATATAATACTCTTTTGACAACAACACAAGCTCTTATAGAATGTCTCTTGCTTGTTTTTCACATCCTACCATTTTCTTCCGATCTATTTACATATATTTATCCTTATTTTATATTATAAATAAGATAACATTTGCTTGACATTGATAATTCCGGACAAAATAGAACACTCGCTCACCGATGTGACAAAGAAATGCCTTAATTTTGAGAATTTTACACGTGTATATAAGCGTATCTGTAACAAATGTATGAACATACATATTTATCCATGACGACTTATAGACACAACGTGTACGTGTGATATATGTGCGTATATATATATATATATATATATATATATATATATATATATATATATATAGATTAGTATCCATGTATAATATACACCAGGAATATACATATATGCATATGTATTATACGTACGATGTATTCTAAATGTATGTACTAGAATATATACGATTTAAATAAAAATCGAATATAACACATAATACGATCAGCCAAGATTAATGATTATTAGACTAAGTTACCTTAAGAATAAATTATTTTAAGAAGCACACACATCGTGAAAATAAGGGACGAAAAATCGAGAAAAAATAAAGAGTAATAGCACGGTGGTGAACATGTAGACGACAATATTATTTTCGCAAATATCTCTAAAAAGCCACATTTTCATAACTTGCGAACATTATATCGTAGAAATCTCATCTATGATCATCGATTGTCTATATTGGACGGATTTGTAACTTAGAAAAAAAAAATCTTAATAACCTATAATTACAAGATGACAAAACTTCGTTACCAAATAACGATCTTAACTGGCCTCAACAATAACTGCGATAGGAATGACAAAGCGCCACCTTGTGAACATTTCGTACCAAATATATAAATATATATATATATTATATATATATATAATATCTCGAATTTATTAGGTGAGGTGATAAACGAAAATATATTTCTCTGTGAACAAAGATTATAAATCTTCATTTATTAATTAGTGATTATTTACTATTTACAGTCTTACCTGTGAACAAAAAAACGACAATTTACGTTTATTATTCACTATTTAAATTTGATTTAATATATTCTTTATAAAGTTTCTTAGTAATCTATCATCCTATTTCTCTCGTCTAAGTCCTGTTTCCTAATGCCCGTTTTTCTTCAAAATCTTAACGGCTCGACTTGTAAATAACAAAAGTCAATCAAAAGGCGGGACATAAGAAGCGCGGCAAATCTAACTTAAGAAAGTATAGTTTCTTTACATCTCTCCCCCCAGGATAAAATTCCTACAATTTTTAGTCCTTGTCTCCATCTTCTGATATTGGAAATAATTTTGTTATGTGGAAGAATTTAGTTTCTTGTTTTCGTTTTCTTGTTTTTATTTTGTATACTGATCCTGAAATTTTTTTTTATTATTTGGAAAGGGCCAATTCTCAGTTCGTCTAATTTCTTTCTATTCAACCTATTGCCATCTTCTATATATACCAGATCTCCTGTGTTAAACCGGTGATTCTTTCTATGCTTGTTAAATATCTTTTTATTATATTCGTGTGATTTTTTTGTTCTTTCTAGAGCTAGTTCTTTATCTTTAATCCAATTATCTTTACTGTTTTTTCTTTTTATTTCTTCGGGTAAAATGCTGGGTGTTTGTGTTATCTAACAAATACTTAGGCGTAAAGCCGGTTACTGTATGCTCTGTTTCATTGTATTTATCCAAAGATTCTTTAGCGATCGTTGTCCAAGCTCTTTTTTTTACTTTCTCATTTATCCTGCATCTTAGTTTGTTTACTAGGGTCTGATTCAGTCACTCGTTCAGACCATTGGAGAAGGGCGTGTTGACAGCCGTAAAAATTAGTTTAGTTTCATTTTCTTTTAAGAATTTCTTAAATTCTCTTGAGTTTATTCCGGGGTATTGATCTGCGAGTATTATTCCTATTTTGTCCGTTTCTAGCACTTTATTTATCAGCTTGATAAAGTCCGTTGCACTCTGAGTTTTTGATATTACCATAAATACGTATCTTGCCAGCAGGTGGAGGTATCTTTTTGTCGATCTTTGTCCACCGGAGCTTCCAATGGTGTCTATAGACATTATTTCAAATGATTTTGTTGCTGGTCCTAATTGTGACATCAGTCCATATTTTCCTTGCCCTCTGGATTTGTTCTTAATACATATTTCACAACTCTGGCAAATTTTTTTTATATTTGCAGTTATATCTTTATCTGTATAATAAGGAGATATCCTGTTTATCATTTGTTTGATCCCTACATGACACCATTCAGAGTGTATTTCTTTAATTAATTTTAACCTTAATTCTGTAGATAAAATTATCTTTTTTTATTTCTAATTTTTTTATAGAATACTCCGTCTTTTTCTATTAATTTTGTTTTAGTTCTCTGCAGTGTTCTATTTTCTTTTTGATCTGTTTTTATCTCCTTTATTTTTATTACATTAACTATTTTTAGTATTTCTTCTGTATTTTCGAATGGTTATAGTACTAGAACAGATAGAACTATCTGCTTCAGCGTTATCTTTTCCCGGAATATATTTAATTTGAAAATCATATTGTGACAAATAGTACGTTAACTGCCCAAGTTCTTTATCTGTTCTAGCTTTTATGTTCATACCTTCTAATGATTTATGGTCCGTGAATATTGTGAACTTTCTTCCAATCAGCCAATGTTGCCAATACTTTACCGCTTCCTTGATTGCCAGGCATTCTACGTAAATTGCTTCTTTTCTTTTTTGTGAATCATTCAATTTTTTCGAAAAGTACGTTACTGGCTTTTCTTTACCATCACTTTGTATCTGTTTAAATATTGCATCAATGCCTTCTAGTGATGTATCCGTGTAAATTCTTATCGATAAATTTTTATCAAATATTTGCAACACTAGTTGAGAGCATAATAATTTTTTTATATTTGTGAAAGATTTTTCACGCTCTTCAGACCATATAAACTTCTCATTTTTTCTTAATAGTTTATGTAATGGGTCTAGCAGTATTGAGCTTTTCGATATATATTCATGATAGAAGTTTATTTTTCCGAGAAACTGTCTAATATTCTTTTGGGTTTTTGGAATGGGAGAATTTTGTATTGAGATTAGATTATCTTTCACTGGTCTTACTGTATTGTGCTCTATTATGTATCCGAGATATTTCACTGATTCTGTTGCAAATGTACATTTTTTAAATTTTAGTCTGAAACCTTCGTTTGCTTTTATTACTCTTTCTATGTGTTCTATATGTTCTTCGAATGATATTGAAAAAATTAAGATGTCGTCTATGTAATTTTCTGAAAAATCTTTTAATTTGTTCTTTCTTAAAATATTAGATAGTATTCTTTGGAAAAAGGCTGATGATGTTTTTAATCCGAACGGTAGACATGTCTGTTGGAAGTGCCCCTCTTGTGTAACGAATCCTGTTATTTGTCTATCTTCAATACGTAATGGAATTGACCAGAAAGTGGAATTTATATCTAATGAGGTGAAGTATTTACAGTTTCTTGTTTTTAGTATTAAATCTTCTATTAATGAGAATGGTTGAACTTGTGGTGTAACTATCTTGTTCAATTCGCAGAAATCTATACACAATCATGATCGTTTGTTTTCATCTCTTTTGAATGCTAGAGTTACTGGTGCTGCAAACGGACTATAAGATTCTTCGATTAATTTATTTTCTAATAGTTTTGCCACCTGATTTTCTATCTCCTTTTTATCGTCTATAGTGCATCTATATGGTCTCTTACTGCAATATTAATCAACCAGTAAATCTATTCGAGCTTCGTAGTCCCAAACGGTGCCTACATCATATTTGTTTTTTGCGAATATGAAATTATACTTTTCTATAAGTTTTTTTATCCTTTTTTTTTTGTATTGTCCAAGTGATTCAGATCCAATCTAAATTCGTCTTCATTCACATGTTCGTTAAAATTTACTTTAACTTGTTTTATTTCTTCATTTCTACCCAATGTATTTATATTTTTTTTGTTTGTGTTTCTTTCTTTGGAGATATCTGTAAGTTTTCATCCTGAATTAGTTTGAATTTCTTTATCATATCTGACCCAATAATGAAATCTTCAAAGTTATTTCTTTCTACAATAAATATATTAACGTATTCCTCTTTATCGAAAATTTTTACTTTAATGGTTACTAAATCTTTTGTTTGTGTCACAGCATTGACCGTCTTTAAAAATATTTTATTTTTATCATTTGTCTCTTTTTTTTTATTTTAACTAGTCTTAAATATATTAGAGAGACTTGGGAACCTGGTTCATATGTTCCGTTTACCTCTAACTTCTCTTCTAATACTATCTTTACTTTGATCAATGGTGTGATTATTCGTTTTTTTGTTCCTTGCATAGGTCCACTTCTATCATCGAATTGCTTCCATTTATTCTGGTTTCCTTTCTATTTCCCTTTTTGAACCAACAGGAGTCCTCTGAATGATATCTAATACTTTTGTTTAGTTTTTCACAATTCTTACATGGTTTCTTTTCTTCAAATTTCTTCTTATTATCTTGTTTTTCCTCTTTCTTTTTTTTTTAAACTGTTCTTACTTACTAGATTTTCAAATTTTTTTATTTGTTGTAGTAATTTTGTTGAGCTTTGACAATTTTCTCTGTCTATTGTATCTCTTATGAATTCTGGTAATCCTGCTGCTATAAGCATCATCAGAGTCTATGTACCGATATTGTTGTCCATATCCAGTAGTAGTTTTTCTTTCCTCATAGCGTACTCCATTAGTGAACCTTCTTTATATCTGTAGGATATAGCGTATATACTTGTACTCCATCGGTTGCCTGCAAATGATTTCAAAAATTTCTGTTTCCATTCGTTCCAACCAACCTCCATTGTCAACGCTGTTAGTGTTGGTGAGTGCCAGTTTAAACATCCCCAGTCAAGGAACAATCTTAGAATTTCAAAATTTTGTGTTATCTTCTTTAATTTCGAATCTTTGACATTCTTTTTCAAATGTCTCCAACCATTGTTCTGTAATTGAATGCTTACATACAAATTTTTCGATCATGAATTTTTCCGATATACCCTTTAAATCTATTTGGTAATTTTTCTTCTGTGTGGGTTCTATTATGTTTGTTTCTACTATTTCTTCTAGATATAGATCATTAAACATTATATTGCCATCTTCATCAAAATACGTATTGTCCATTTCCTGTGTGCATTTAATCTATATTTTTCTTTCTTGCCCTCTTTGATTGAGGCATTTTTTCATTCTCTTATAGCTTTCTGTTTTTGTGAGTTCGTTGTGGTTACTTGCAAATTTTTCATTTTCTGGCAACATATATTTTTTATTGTCCTCAGTTGTGATAGAGGTTATGGCAATCACATTTGCCTTTCTGTCGCTCGGTGATGCCACACATTTAAATGCGAATTGTAGTTTTCTTGCCATTATAAACCAAAAATTGTCGTTTTATAATATCTCGAATTTATTAGGTGAGGTGATAAACGAAAATATATTTCTCTGTAAACAAAAATTATAAATCTTTATTTATTAATTAGCGATTATTTACTATTTACAGTCTTACCTGTGAACAAAGAAACGACAATTTACGTTTATTATTCACTATTTAAATTTTATTTAATATATTCTTTATAAAATTATTTCTCTCGTCTAAGTCTTATTTCCAAATGCCCGTTTCTCTTCAAAATTTAACAGCTCGACTTGTAAATAACAAAAATCAATCGAAGGGTGCGATATGAGAAGCGCGGCAATTCTAACTTAAGAAAATATACTTTCTTTACATATATATATATAAAAGCTTTGATGCGATTGTCTGTAGATTCCTCCCGAACTATTCATGAGTTAGGAAAGGGAAATGGAAAGGGAGGAGTTTAAATAAAAAGTGCCAGGAAAAGGAAAGCAATATCTTTATTGATCGTGAGCATGTCAAGATAGTTCATTCGAAATGTTTAAACAATCTCATGTGTGGTTCTTGTCCTGGTGACTGTGTGAACCCATGAGAGTTGCATTGATATTCGAAGGATAAGCACCAAACAAATCCTTGGCTCGTCGTAACTAAGAGTCTAACTTCGCAGTTTATTTATTGCCTAGTTCGACACATTATTGAAGACTAGATACTTGACTAAAAATGCCTAATCTTGGACAAAGGTAGCAGTGTGTTTTTTATCTATGCTCATTCTTAGCGAGTATACAACGAGTTCCAAAGAGCAGATATTTCGAATAGTTATATATGATTCTTAGGAGAAAGTACTGTGAGTGATGCTTGTACAGTATATAATATATATATACATATATATATATATATATGTATGTATATATATATAGATATGTCTATTTCGTATCCAATTTCTTCTCACTTCGAAAGGAAAAACTTTATATCCTATTTTATTTTCAGGATTGCGCATTTGAAATATCTTACACAAAGTAAAAAAACCACGATTAATCCAAATTTTGAACTGTTAACTGTTGCGTAATATTACTTTTAGTTAATACATAGAAAATGTGAGATATTTTGATATTTGCCCATATTGTCTTAACAATTGACACATCAAGAACATTTCAATATTTTAAAATTATATTTCGTGTTATTTCAATCATTCTTATTATTTTATAGTTTTCTTATGTGATTTCATAGATAAGATATTTTTATTGTCAAATTATGAAGTTTTTACTCATCAATCAATTTATATACATATAACTTAAAAAATTCTGCATTTTTACAAGATTATTTATTTATATATATTTTTCTATTAAAAAACACAAAGTTAATTTGTCATTTTATGTAACAAATTGTTAAAGAGTTATCCTATGATTATATATTATCAAAACATCTTCAGAAAGTTAATCTTCAAAGTATAAAAAAACGGCCAAGAATTCCCAGTTCACTAATACATGAAACTGGTATATAATTTTATAAAATATTCATCATTAGTACGGAAAAATTAATGATTCTGAACGTGGCATTAAATTAAAAATGGATAAAAGATTGTATTTAAAAAAGGGAAGGATATAGGTTAATAAGAAAATATGCGGCTATGGAAGAAATTGTTTTTCTTTTCATACCAATGAAACGACTTTTATGGTTTTGATATAAGAGTCAAAATTTTGGCTTTGCAATTTCATATCTTTTAACATTTCCTTATAGAAAATCTGAAACTTTACAGACAGCAGTAGCATAAGTCGCAAAGTAACAAAAATCTAATTTATTTTCAAGTGAAATTCATAATGATATTTCAAAACAATATTAATTATTTATATAAATGTACTAATTAGATTACTCTATGCAATGGAATATTTTTTAAAACATTTACATACTTATATTAGAATCAAAGGACATCTAATCCTAAGACACATCCGTCTGTTGGGAAAGCTCATGTTTTTTCATGATAACGAACATAAATTTGTAACTTATATATTATATTTACATTTTATCATGTTTTTATTAAAAATAAATAAAAATTATAATAATAATAATCATCTACAATCTTAGAACACACATATGAAACTGAACATAAGGTATCTAAACTTTGAGATTCAAAACTGAATCTTTCCAGCACAGATAAAACTCTACTATGTAGATGATCAATAAAAAGCAATTGTTTATGAGACTCAAGCATGTTGAGATTTTCCAAAGCGTAACTCAACAACTATGTTTATGTTGATATATGGTAATAGTGATATAAAAACAAAAAGTAATAATATTTTATTTTTTGTAATAAAATGTATGTAATATATTTATTGTCTTCTAAATTACTGTTATTTATGTTCAAATTTTTCAATTTCATTTAAAACATTAACAAATCTGTGTTTATTGTTTATTAAGGTATTACCATAATCTACAACAAATGTAACCAATAGTATAAAACATAATATATAATTTTCAACTCTTTATTTTGTTTCAAAAATATTATTTAACAAATTAAATATATACATTGACTTACACTAGGCAAAGATTAAATAGATAGTGAACATTTTAATTGTAAATTAATTTATGCTAGTGTGATTTTATATATGCTATAAGTAGCAATGGCTATTTTGCATTAACATGATCTACGTTTACTATTAATTGACTTGTACTTGAATCTAACTTACAAATTTTTACAATCATTAATAGATATTTTGTATAAAAATATTTCTTTTCCCATAAAAAAGCATTATTAATAAAATAGATATACATTTTTTTAGTTTAAGTGATGTTCATTAAACATGGTTTTATAATGATTTACGTAATCAATGAGAACAGGCGTAATTTTTGACCGATTTTGAACAATAAGGTCGCATTTTAAAGACGAAGGATTAATCTAGTACATAATTTTTCCAAATTTTTGAAAAACCTTTATTTTATTACAAAAAAATCGTGTTAAAAATAGTATTTTTTCAAGAATTTTATAAACAAATAAAAAGATTTTCCAAAAATTCGACGAAGATTTATAGTAGATTCATGATTAAAATAAGACTTCCTTCATCAAAATTGGTCAAAAATTACTCCTGTTGATGAAGTAAATGATATTTTCGATATTTTTCGCGATGAAAAAGTTTAGTACTAGAAATTTGCGGCGGAAGAGAAACTTGTATCCCCTCTACTGATCATTATATACACGATTGAATGTAGTATGTTTATATATCCGTGAAGTAGCTCGTCTGTGTGCGTAAATTGCCGATAGTCAAATTTTCTGAATATTTCCAAACGCAAAGAAATGCGTTTCACACAGAAGCTACGGTAATTCACTCGGTCATTTTAATGAGCTTTGGCCAACTGTTTCTATAATAAAAATAAGGAAAGACATGTCCAATCATTTATATCAATGTATTTGAGTTTTTAAAATATTGTTAAATTTTGGAAAAATGTATAATTCCTTATAGATTTTATAGATTAAAAAGGTAAAAATTCTATAAACAATGTATAGGACATTGGCTAGCATCTAGATTAGTAATTAAAGAAATATTAGATTCGAGGCTATAAATGATTTCGGTTATTTTTTTATTGTATCAATATAAACGAAAATAATTAATTAATTTACTCTTTTTCTTCTTATTTGATAATTTAGTACGGTAGCGCTATTCAATCTCTTATATTTATTTCTTCCACTAATTTCTGACGGTGATCTTTGTCGAATAGGACACAGCAGTATAATTTTGTTCGATGACATACTTATCAAGTATATAAATGTATTATAATAAATATATATATTATATATTATTTTTAAATAAGGTCAAAATACAAGTACGTTTCCACATTACAAAAATTTTTTCCCAGTGCTATTTTGTTATGGTTTCCTTTGTACGAATTCACTTCATATTATTATTATTACTACTACTATTACTATAAGAATAATATATAATGTAATAATATAATAATAAGAATAGTAATAAGAAAAAATAGAAGGATATACTTATATTATATACATCATGACACATATGCTGACGATAATTTATGATTATGAGGGGAATAACTAACCTGATACGATAGGTGGGGACAGATATTTATGCTTATTTTCTAGTTCATATTTTGCCCATATCTGTCGCTTAGAACACATACACTTCGTACGAAAGGTAGTTAACAGCCTTAAAACGTTCTATTCAATTAATAGTTTAATTTTTGGTAATAGCAAAGGTCAATTTTTAATTTATTTCATTTTATTAAAACTACTTTAACGCTCTAGTTACCCAATGCTTTAATTGCAACTGTGGTCTCGTTGTGATTGTTACGGCTCCTCCGACAAGAAACATAACTAACACGCCTCAACGCCATCAAATACACACGTAGAAAACCAACCAAACAAGAGAAAACAAAGATGCCAAAAACAAAGGAAACTACAAAGATACTGGAAACATAAAATCATTTATTATTTCTTTGATTCTTCTTGACCACCGCCATAGCTGCTAAAGATTAAACTACTGTGTACATGCCAATGTTAAATAAATTTGTTACAATTATTGCTTGATATGCAAAGTTTCTTTCTACATTGTGGGTTCTCCGCGAAAAACTCACAATTGGTGATCGCGACGTAATCTTTGTGCATCAAGAACTCCTACTAAAAGAAAAACGAATCAGCTTCAGCCATTCTGCTTCATTATAATACACGAGATGCAAAAAAAGGAAAGAAATTAATAAATAATAAATGCTAAAAATTACAATCACCTTCATGTACAGAACATCTGAAAAAAATACACAAATACCGAACACTATGTCAAAAGCCAACAATGTATACACAGACCTATTAGGTTTCGGCGCGAATCTGAATCCGATTTCCACGAATCAACAACAATAGCAAGTTAAACACATTGATGACAGAGGATAAAAATGATAAAGAAACTCATCCTGAACAAATGAATCAAAACAACAATAGATGAAAGACGTCACCAAACATTTCGACAGCATCACTCACCCGAACAGCATCAATAACAAACCAGAAAAACTAGCATCG